AAAAAAAAAAAAAAAAAAAAAGAAAAAGAAACAAAAAGGAAAAAGAAAAAAGAAAAAGGAGATGCAAGGCTGGTATAACCAACCTCTTGTCGTTGCAGCAAAAGAGCAAATTTCCCAGTGAGGAGCGATTGAAGCAAACACAATGGAGTGTTGGAATTCTTATCTCTTCCCTCTTGATTCAAAAGGAAAATGTTTCTTCCAATCTTCATCATGAACACATTCAACTCCGCGATTATGAACTTCGATTCGTTTTCCAGCCTTGTTTTCGCCGAATGACAAATGCAGATTGAGATATGGCTTTATCATCCTATTGCTTTCTTTGCTTGTTTCATTTCAACAAATCGAACAATTGGTTTCGCCAGGAGACCAACATTTCCAAGGGATTTTCTGGCGGAAAGCGGGGCGGAAATGGAGATTTCATTGGTTCGCATTCGAGGCAAGCGGCTGATTCTCTTATCACTCGTCACATTTCTTGGAATTGGAGACTGAATGCTATCGGCCTTGACTCGACCACAAACTCCCAAGCTCGTATCTCCACCATTCACGACAAAGCCCACAATGCCGCCGCCGTTGCCACGATTGAAATCCATGTCACTTGTTACCAGGTGATTCTCTAGCCATCTCTCCTGTTCTCTTTTTGGTTTAATGATTTCTCTGCTCAGTTTACTATGATGATTTGCTAAGGTTTGTGAGCTTTTCTGTGGTCTATTTCTGTTTTGTACTGATGGTGTTGTTTTGTCTGAATCCGGTGGAAGCACAACTCTGATCCAAATTTCATGCTGGTTTCTTTTATTCTTGTTACATTTTTTTTTCTGTTTGGTTTCTTTTCGGTAATGGATACATCCTTTGATTTTTTTGTAGCTTGGCTGTAACTTAAGTTTGTAGAGATTGTTGGATGAACAAAATTCTGTTCATGCCACTAATTTAACCTTTAATTTAAAGAAACATTAAATGGCAAGGTCCTTTCCATGAAACATAAAGTGACAGTAATTTGTAGATTTCTTTTAAATACTCATGATGCCATCCAAAGAAGGCTCCCTCATTATGCCCACTCCCCAAGTTAGGGCATTATGCTTAAAAAGAATGCTGAAACTCGGGCATTTATTCACCAAGTGTGAATTTCCTAACAAATTCTGGAATTTTCTGAACTCCTTTGGCTTGCAGATTCCGTAGTATTGTGACATTAGTAGGCTTCTTCGTTCCTTAATTGTGGGACACCAGGATATTCAAAAGAACAAGTAGATCGGTTCGATGTAGTTAATTAGGATTTTTCTTTGGAGGTTTTGATGAAAATGAACAACAGGATATTCAAAACGGTTACGAGTCTTGGGAGTTTGAAGTCTCTGGTCCGGATGGTATGGACAAATAATTTTTTTAGTAAGTCTTAGAACATTGTGAAAGTTGATTTGCTAAGGGTGTTTCATGATTTTTTTTTTTTTTTAAAACAACATGTTATCAGAGAACAACTATAATTGTGCTTGATTCTAAAGAAGCTGAGAGCTAACTGGGTCAGAGAGTTTTGTCAACTATTGAAAAAATGCAAGCTGCGTTCGTGGAGGGGAAACAGATTTTTGATGCAATCTTAGTAGTCTCAGAGGTGTTAGGGGATTATTTGGGATCCCTCTTGGGGGACAACACAAATCCTCTTCTTTTTGGGATCCTTTGGTGGACAAGTTCAGAAACAAAATCACTAAGTGGAAGAATTCTTTACTTTCTGAAGGATAAAGGCTGATCTTGGTTAGTTCATTTCTAAATGGGCCTATATTATTTTTCCCTCCTTAAATCGCTGGCTGAAGTTATTAATAGTGTGGAGAAAATTAGGTGATTATATGCTGGTAGTCATCTTTTGAATTGGAAAATGACATCCCGCCCTTTACATCTTGGTGGTTTGGTGTTGGGTTCATTTAAACATTGAAATGTTGCCTTCCTTACCAAAGGGTTGGGTGTTTTTTTCTGTTGAATAAAACGCCCTCTGGAAACAGGAGGTGAGTAACTATGGCAAGGTGCCCCTTAGGTGGAGCTCCTCCCAGCCTAAAGGTTGCTCTAGAAATAGACGTGGTTTGACATTGCTTGTTTGACCTCCATCATTTTTAAGTTTGCTATTTTTAAAGTTGGGAAATGGCAGAGAATTAGATTTTGGAAAGATACTTGTTTTGGTGAAATCCCACTCCCAGAAGCTTTTCCTGAAATTTATAACATCTCCCTAAAAACAGATGCAACTATGACTGATTGTTGGGATAATGTGCATCGAAACTGGAAATTGAGCATCAGAAGGAGAGCTTTTGGCAGAGATCTCCTTGCATTCGTTAGTCTCTTTGAGATGCTGGAGTCCTTTGGAGGAAAATGCTCATTTTGATTGAGCCATTGTTTTTCCTTCTTTGTAGGTGGACAACTGAGGACCTTGATCATATCTTTTGGAGATGTGATTTATTCACGCTGATTGTTGCTGTTTCTTCTAGGAGTTCTACTTATGCATAGCTAGACATAGTGGTTGCAGAGAGGACAAAATCTTTAGAGTGCTTGATAGGTGTTTGAGTGATGTTTGGGTCCTTGTTAAGCTTGACGTCACCCTTTAAATCTTGTTTTGCTTTAGTAATCACCCTCATCATGGTTTTTTTTTGAAATATGTGGAAAGAAAGAAATCAAAGAATATACGCAGAAAAGACACGGGTTTATACAAAACTTTTCGACAATGTTGTTTACCAAGTTATATCTTGGTGTAAACTATCTAATATTTTTACTTCCTATGATTATACCTCCCTCATTGTAAATTGGGAAGGTCTTTTGTAAACATAATGGATATTACATCCCTTTTGTAAATGTAAATCAATTGTCTCTTATAAAAAAAAAAAAATTGTTTTACTTAATTGAAGCCCTTTTCTTTAGCTTCCTCCTTCCTTTGTGGCCTTTGGTTTTTTATGCCCTTGTATTCTTTCATTTGAAATGGAAGTTAAAAAGGAAAGAAAGTGTAAGAGATTTCAAGACTTTAAACCTAACATATTTTTTATTCCAGCAGCTACAAGTTTCATTAGCCTTAGCCTTAGCCTGACCTTGTAAGCCTTTTATGCCCGTGTCCAAATAATTAGAAAATATTGATTCTGGCAACAAAGTCAAATGTTAAAGAGCACTCAAAGCCTTGAAACATACTTGTAGCTTCTTGGTTCTTTTCTTGTTTTTACTGAGTAGCAATCCTGTCTTAACAACACTTGGGTTTAATCTTTTATTTTACGGAAACTTATGGTTTTTACAAGGTTGGTTGTTCAGTCTATTTAAATGGCTGGTTTGCAAGCTTTGAGACATCTTTTTCATTGTTAACAAAAGTCACCCATTTTGATTAATACATCTTTGGAAATCCATTATTAGGGAGGGTTAAACTCAACCTACCAATAGCACTTATGAGATCCTTGTATGTTGCCTTATCGGTAACAAGCCTAAACAATGGGACTTCTTTGTCTCAGGCTGAATTACAACCATATGCAGAATTGGTCCACAGGGAAGTCCCTACACTGTCACAAGTAGCAAGTGATAAGTAAATTATCGATTCTACAGAGAACTTATCTTTTTGGTTAATTTTATCGCTGGAAATTAAGTGAGTTTTTTAGGTAACATTCAAATGAGCGTTGGTGATTTTGACTAATTAAACAAAACTAAAGCAAAGTGCCACTGCTGTCGAAAAAACAAAAAATGATGAGACAATCAACTATAATGAGGAAGGTTTGGCTCAGAGAGATTAAATAGATAAGTTGTTGAGTTTTGTGGTAGATTTTAATTCCTTTTAATAGATTTCCAAGCCCACTTCCGAGGGTCATGCATGGTGATTATTTCCATAATCGTTTTTAATTTCTATTAACAAGGCTCTAGGAGAAGAATTATTCATAACTCTTCTATTACCTTCAAGTCTCCTTGCAATGGAACTAGATTATTAAAGATGGTTTCATTGCTCCCTCTCTTCTCTCGAATAAGAGAACAATTATGTATGTAAAACAGCTAATTAAACACACATGTAAATCATCAACCGCAACTCTTTAATAAACTAAAATCATACCGTCAACATACTTAAACTATATAAAACTCTCTCGCCTCTCTTATAAAGTTTAGCTCTCCATGCAAACTGAATTAAACAGAGGAACCCAAATCTCAATCATATAAAATTGATAGAATAAGAAAATATAGTAAGGAAATAGAAAGTTAACCAATTTTGTTGTTATTCTTCAATGAAAGTTCCCTTCCCTTGAGGTCTCACATCCACCTCCTTGCCCTAATCAATCATTTTTGGTCTTCTTTTCCTTCTGCTATCAACAACGGTTGGATTAGGGTTTTCTTCTTCTTCTCTGATTTCACAGCAGTTCACTGCAGCAGAGGCTGCTGCTGTCTAATTCGAAAATTAGCTCCCAAGGTGTGGCTCCTCCTTTTTTAGGTATCCTTTTCCTTTTATAATGTTTGTTTTTTCTCATTTAGGGCTGAGAAAAGATAAAAATCATCCACCTAAGATGTTTCTAATTTGGTAGTTAATGACCCACGTGGATTGCTGATGTGGATTAAAATTTTCATGTCATCTTCGAAAAGTCTACGTTTCGAATTATTACAGTATCATGGTTCAACATAAATGTTCTGGAATTTTACCAAATAACTCAATTAAGTATACAATTAAGCTCGATTTATGCAAATTGATGTTCTTTTCATATTAAACCATAATTGACTATTTCATGTATACTAATTAGAATAAATGGAGCAATTAATGAGAAAATGGTGAGTATGAGTGCAAAATTAACTATAGAAGACTTGATATAACTCTACTTTTGGAGAGTTATCACTGCCTGTATTCAAGAGCTGCGAACAGAGGTCAAGGATCATGTGGAAAACGCAACCGCTTACTATAAATCTTTGGTAAATGCTCACCGCCCGCTTGAGGACTTTCAAGTGGGCGATTTGGTGATGATCCACCTTTGTAAGTCTCGTCTATTGGCTGCCCATCACAATATGGGCCTATTCCTAATGTTGAGCGGCTGGGTAGCAATGCATATCAGATTGATCCTTCCTCCTTTGCGCATCAACAACACCGTCAATGTCAAATACATTTTCTCTTATGATGCGCTGGATTAGTTTCCTTTACATGACGAACTTGGGTCAATTTTTTCTTAGAAGGAAGGGTCTAATGTAGGACATCCATCCTGTTCATGGCCCATTCTTGTCCTTTCTTGTATCTTCTTGGTTCTTTTCTTGTTTTAACCGAGTGATAATCCTGTCTTAACAACATTTGGGTTTAGTCTTTTATTTTAAGGATACTTTTAGTTTTTACAGCCTTGTTAAGTTGACTGTTGTGGTTAATCGTTTGTTTGCTGCAAGGTTGGCTGTAAAGCCTATTTAAATCGCTGGGTTGTTAGCATTTAGACATCTTTTTAATTTTTATGAAAATTCCCTACTTTGATTGCGTCATAACATCTCTCAATGTTTGGATGTGCCAAATGAATGAGTGACAAGTGTCTAATTTTGATAAAGATCTCATCCTTGCTCTCTGTTACATTGCATCATAGACTAAATGATTAGACATTCACGTACGGTTGTTTTCTTGTTCACTTTTTGTATGCTTTAATTTTTGAAAATTACTTTTTAAATTTTGAAGGCTTACATCAGAAAAATACTTTTCATATGTCCTGTATAATTCCATGTTACAAACATAGGTTTTAAAGGAAGAGAACCGTACAACTATTGAAACTAGGGTAACAATTACAAGAATACGAGGAAAGAAAGAAAAAGAAACCATATACATATGGGAAGAAGAATAAAATGGAATATTTGAGGAAGAGAGACAAGTCCACGAGGGTTGAGGACATGGGTCCTAAATGAGGCATTTGGTTTTTTCTTTGTTAGCTCTCAGAGTTGTAGGGAGTCGATTGAGGAGCTTCTTATCAATTCACATTTTTTTTTAATGAGAGTAAGGTAATTTTTGTGGTAGGCTGAGGTTTGTGCTATTTGTGGATTTTTTTTGGGCGAGATAAGCAATAGACTTTTTTAGGGGGTGGGAGAGATCTAGCGATGTTTGGTCTCTTGTTAAACTTGAGACCTTTTTGTAATTACCTTTTAGGTTGTACTTTACTTGATTGGCTCCACTTTTGTAGGCTTTATTTTTGTATACTTGTGTATTTTTTCATTTTTCTTGTATGAAGTTAGATTATTCAATAAAAATAAAACAAATTCATATTCCATAGAAAAATATTGCTTGCAAAATCTGGAAAGATCATATTTTTAAAACTTCTCAATAATACAAAGAATTCTATTAGAAAAAATGTTGCTACTTGTGAGGTGATAGTTTTGACATTTTTTATTTTATACGTTTATTCTCAAATGCTCGATGAGTTGAAGCATGTTGTTTATTATTTCATAGCATCTATGAAATGTCTTGTTTCTCATAAAAAAAGAACTTTGTTTCTATAAAAAAAAAGAACTGTGTAGAAGTAAACTTATGAATTATGTTTGACATGTGCCTTTCGTTTTCTCTAGTCTTACATATGTGTCCAATAATGACTTCGATAGTTTGTGATTGCATCATCAACTCACCTTTTTATGTTAATTTTTTCCAACTATTATATGATATAAATGTTCATTGTGCAGCTTATTGGTGTCTCAGATCAAGCTGAAAAAGATGAGATTGTTAAATCAATAATGGAATTAAGAAATGTTGAAATTGAAGAAGGTTACTCCATTGATGCTATTTCATCTCGCCAGGTTGGGACTTTATGTTGACTTGTTGGAGTCCATCGTTGATTCTTTATTACATCTCTGCCATTATTTGATTTAGGCTTAAAGAGGTTTCTTGTCTTTTTATCATGGCTATCAGTATCATAGGATTGAAAACAAATCTTTTGAAACCTTCTTTGAAGAAAAATTTAGAGATTTTTCATGGAGTGCTCTCTTCTCTTATATTTCTATTTCATTAGTATCACGGATTTCAGTAGTTGTTGCTTCGAGAGTAAGTTTTTCAACTGGCTGTCATTATATGATCTTTTCAAGATTGAAGAACAGGCAATCACCATTTCCATATTTTTTCCATATACGAGGCCACTCATTTGGTTTGAAGAATCCATGGCCAAGTTGGTGCAATTCCCCCTGGAAGGCCATTTCTTGAGATAATTAAAAGGGAACTTTGGTATCTGTTGACTATTTAAGAAGTACAATCAGCATAGCTATAATCTTGAATTCATTTCCATCTCCAACTTTGGAATGAGAAATAGTATTGTAGTCCCATCAGAATTAACAAGTGAGGTTGCTTAGTATTCTAGGAAATGGAAACGATAAGAGAATTCATGTGGAAGAAAATTGAGAAAGAATATTTACCTAGGGATGCTAGGAATTTTTTTTTGAAAATATACAAGAGAAGGAAGACCAAGGACAGCCTGCTTTTATAAGAATAGTTCAGTGCAGGATAAAGCACGGTACTCAACAAGCATATTGTGTTAAAAAAGAGAACTTATGCTCATGATGATTGGAGAAAGATCTCCAATGCGTTTCATGGATGGCAAGGCTCTATCTGGCCCTTAATGCAAAATGGGGCTGGAGGACGCCTTTGAATCTGGTAATAACCAGCATTTATGGGCTTGATTCTTTTGGATGGCGCACAATTAGCAAAATCTATGAATATTTGAGAAGTTCTTGGGTTAACATACCAAGACAACGGAAGCTTCTGGAACGCTTAGTCCGTCAAAATTGGAAATGGTAAATGTATGCTCAAACTCATTTATCCACATTCATATTGAATGATTTATTGCTCCAATATTCTTATTTATAAATTTTGCATTGACCAAAATCAAAATTGCCAAAATATTAGCAAGATCGCCGATATTTTGATGATTTTCTGCAAAAAAAGATTTTCCCTCTTTATCATTGTCGGGGTCGCAAATATAATAATATGTTGATGATGTTTAGCGAGTCCTTTGGAGTCGTCAATTTTCTTAGTCGACTTGGTGTTGTGGGCTTAACCCTTTGGGGGGGCTTCTCCACCCCACCATATTGACTCACTTTCCTTCACTTATCCAAATCCAACAATAGATTGAAGTCCTTATTACAAGAGTAATTTGTATTATTCTCATTTCTTGTTATTCACTAGAGAATTACATAGGCCTATTTATAACAAAAAAAATTAACTAATCCTCTAGGGAATAGGAAACATAAAAGAAAACTAACTATCCTCCGGGGAATAATAAGCAAAAAAGAAAAGCTAACTAATCCTTAAGGGAATAGGAAGCAATACAGAAAAGGAAACGAAAAATAGGCTAATTCCCTTATTAAATGGGATTACACCAATTTTCCTCAAATTAAGATTATTTCTTTCACACTCCCCCTCAGGTGGAGTAATAGATATCATTTATTCTTAACTTGTATACTAACTCATGAAACAGTAAACTGTGATTTTTTTTGTTAACACATCTGTCAGTTTAAGTCGTGAGAGCACATAATTCATGCATACTATTCCTTTTTCTTAATCAAATGCCTATCAATTTCAATATGTTTTGTCCTAACTTGTTAGATAGGATTAAGAGCAATATTGATGACTGAGTTATTGTTGCAGTACAGTTTTATCAGACATTCTCCCTTCATCTATAAGTAATCAAGGATTTATCTTCAACAATAAGTTCTCACATAGTTCTTATGTAATAGCTTGAAATTTTGCCATGCACGTAGATCGTACATGTATTTTCCTTCCATTGCAACTCTAACTAGCTTGCCTCTATTCTAGATCAAGTCCTAAAGACCTTGCCTTGAATGTAGGTTAAGGTCATTTAAATGCCGCATCTCATTTCATTGTCTAGGTTCTCAACAACACTACCCTCATGCTTCTTCATTGATTTGAAACTCACCGGGATGAGTTGACCCTTCGTTGGCTCAATGCTCAATTGAAGCTTACCAGATGATTTAAGCACTTATTGAGGCATAACTATGTAAGTCAAAGTTATTGAGCTATTAAAATGCTTATCAAGACATATCAACTTAGTACAATGTTAACCGGAACTCTGGAGTCACACCGTTGCTTCATGATGCCATCTTAAGCCTTGGAAAGGATACACTACTAGCCATCTTAGTTCCAAAAGATATTTTCAAGGTCTTGTGACTTTCCTTTGCAAAGGATACACTACTATGGCCTCAAAAAGAAGGAAGAGCATAGTGTAGGGAATATTCTGTCCTTGGTATTTTGGTCAAAATAGCCGTTGGTGTTGGTTCTGTTTGACCTATTTGTTTGTTAGCTGATCTTTTATGTCTTAGTTAGTTGCATCTTTGGCTGTTTGTTATCTTCGGCTTTGGCCTATATACTGCTGTAGTTGTCCTTTGTTAAGGATATCGAAAACTTGATATAATTTCAAACTAAGGGTTGCATCAGAGTGCCTTAAATGTATTCAAAGGTATTAACTCTAAACAGAAAACTCCTAAAAAATTAACATAAAACAAACTAATTTATAAGCTAATCACATGTAGTTTGCAAGTCCCAGATGCCTACGTCACAACCAACATTTTTCTTCCTTCACAGCTAGTTATTTTCTTATTTATTTTTTTCACCCATAATCCCCTTACAATTGAGGGGTTATATTAAGTTATACATTATCATTTTATAAAACAGGAGAAACACATATTTCTTCACATTTATATAATTTGATTTTTGGGTATCTTTCAGGATCTTTTAATGGATGTGAGAGATAAACTTCTATTTGAACCAAATTATGCTGGTAATATGAAGGAAAACATCCCACCTAAGTCTTCCATTCGAATTCCTTGGGCTTGGTTGCCAGGTGCACTTTGTCTTCTTCAAGAGGTAAGTCCAACATTCATAGTAAACTCACCTACAAGAGGAATACAAGTTACTTCACAGAATTGTTTTTTAATATTTCATATTTAAACACTAATGGAAAGTTTCATCTCCTTTTGAAAAGATAAAACATCTTATTTAAATGCATTTAGGTTTAGTTTAGTTTGTGACAGGATTGCTATTAGTGTGTGTGTGTATGTGTTTATATATATATTCCATTTTCTCTTAACAAGAAACAACTTTTTATTTATAGATTAAAAGGATACTATTAGGATAAAATTAGGAATGTTATGAGGGACCTAGGGTATTAAGGGAATGCAAACAATTAATTACAGAAGTTGTTATTTTTATTTGTTATATATAGTTTGGGAAAGGATGAAGGTAAGCTTTGATTTTGAGTGATCTTAAGAGAGGGAGGATCTAAGTACCTCAAATTACATGGCTTATTGTGTAATTACTCTTTAGGTCTTATTTGGCTTGTTTGATGCCCTTTTTAGGCCAATCGGTCCCAATTGTTTTCTTTTTCCCCTTTTGCATTCTCCTAGTTTTCTTTCATTTATTCTCAATGAAAGTGCCTTTTCATCTACAAACAAATTTTGTAGTTCTCTAACTTTTACCTTTTTAACTTGTAGCTCTTGGACCCTCCCTCTCCCGAAATCACTCAAGCCTATTCCAATTAAATCAATACCAACCTTCATTTCATCCTTTCATCCGTTCCCACTCACTCTATGTATAACAACTCACCACAACAACTTCCCTAACTGATTACTAATATACCGTTAATACCCCAAAAAAACATTCTTAGTTTATCATAATAGCATTCTGATCAGTTTGTAAATTATAGGGTGCATTGTTGAGTAATTAGGATTTGCCCATAAAGTTTGGTTCCCTCCTTAATTAAATATGCAACTTCTTTTTAATTGTTAATATTTCTCATGCGGACATTGATTGAAATTTACAAAATCTGAAGCAGTTTCTTAGTGATTTTAGTTTGTGAGCTCATTCTACTTTTTCCTTTTACTTCCCTCTTGGAGTGAGATGAATTGAAAAGGGTTTCAGATGAAAGATGTATCATAATTTGTTATTTCCACACCCCCCCCCACATTTTTGTAGGTCGGAGAAGCAAAAAGGGTGCTTGACATTGGACAGACAGTTATTCAATGTCCAATGGCTAAGCCTCATATGCATGACATACTTCTTTCTATGGTATTAGCGGAGGTATGCTGTTATGTACAGTAGGCGGGGACTCTTGAAGCCCCATTCTAGTTTTAGTTTTGTTGTATATTGTATTCTTATATTGGGTGCTTTCTTGAAGTGTGCCATTGCAAAAATCGGGTTTGAGAAGAACATGGTGTCTCAAGGATTTGAAGCTCTTGCACGTGCTCAATATCTACTAAGGAGTCAAACATCTCTTGCGAAACTAAAATTGTTATCTCAGGTGAAAGGTCCACTTTTTTTGTATGTCAATTTTTTCACGCTAATAATTCGTAGGCATTTTAACAACTCCACCTATTAATGCATGTAGAATCTTGTACCTTGAATTGCCCGGCCACTTCTTTTTCTTTATGATAGTATATTCCATAGTACATTCCCTCCCCTCCAAAGGGGTTTTTAACTTGTACATATAATGTCTGGAATATTTTTGAGAAGAAACTGACCTTTTTATTAAATTAGTGAACAGATATGAAGTACAACACTTGGAACAACAAAATTGTATGAGCTTGAAAAAAGTTTTAAAGTAAGGATTTTGAGCAATGGAAATCTCTCTCTTATTGAAGACAAGAGTAGGAATATTCAGCTTCCTCCCAATCTATCCCAGAACAATTACTTTTGTATTTGGATTGAAAATGATAGGTTCATTATCTTCCAACAACTGAGCAAATTATTGATGTACTAACTAAGAGACTTCCAAAGAAGAACTTGACTAACTAATTGACAAGCCGACTGTTGAAGACATCTTTAAACCAACTTGGAGGGGAGTGTTGGAGTTTCTACTATTTAGGAATATTTGTATATATGGCCATCAATATTTGGCCTTTATCATTGTTATTTTTTCTTCATCTGTAATAGGTCTATGTTCTATAAGAAGATCTAAGTTGCACATATTCATATATATATATATCAATATATTTTTATTCTCTTAAAATGAAAAGTAACCATGGAATTTGGTAGACATATGGGATGTAAAATAATTTAGGGATGACATGTTTCTTCCTTTTTGGGTTATTTATGCCGTCCAAGATTATTATTTCCCCTCTATATTATTTTTGTTACTTCATTATTAAATTGTTGCATATTCTAAATTTTATGGATGGTTGATCTGTTTTATCAATATGTTAACATTTTTCCCTGGAAAAAAGGGGCAACCAAATAAGACTTTTTGCTTCCGCTGGTTTCAGATTGAAGAATCTTTGGAAGAACTTGCACCTGCTTGCACATTGGAGTTGTTGGGTATGCCTAGCTTACCCACGAATACCGAACGGAGAGCAGGAGCAATTGCAGCATTACGTGAATTGCTGAGACAAGGTCTTGATGTGGAAACATCATGCCAGGTTCAGGATTGGCCATGCTTCTTAAGCCAAGCTCTTGGTAGGCTAATGGCGGCAGAAATAGTTGATCTTCTTCCATGGGATGAATTAGCTCTTATTAGAAAGAATAAAAAATCAATCGAGTCACAAAATCAAAGGGTTGTGATTGATTTTGATTGCTTCTTAATGGCTTTTAAAGCTCATCTTGCCCTTGGGTTTTCAACTAGGCAGACAGAGTTGGTAATTTCTCTTTTGCAGCTGATCAATCCATAGCATAATAGAAAAGTTTTGTTTATTGGCACATATGCATACCCCTTGCTCAAAATATTTTTGAAGATGATTGAATAACAATCACTAAAATCATAAGAGTAGATTGCTATGTCTCCTTTTATTAATTCTATATCTTGTACTATTCTTATGTAGATTGAAAAGGCAAAAACTATATGTGAATGTTTGATGTCATCAGAGGGTGTCGATTTGAAACTTGAGGAGGCTTTTTCCATTTTTCTTCTTGGTCAGGTAGATTGTTTTTAATACCACTTATGTAATCCAGATGTGATAAAATAATTTAATGATCTTAATGTATCTTAAACTGCTAAAATTTGACATGTAGTGTTACTTTAGTCATTCGATGTCTAGTATTACTCATATTCTGGCTATTATGTTTACAGTGCAGTGATTCTGAGGTTTTTGAAAAGCTTCAACAGTCGACTTTGAATTCTAAACCAGCTATGCCTACCCGATTGCCAAATCTAGGAATGGAGAAAAAGAATGCAGAGAACACAAACCAATTGTTGGTAAGTTCACTTTTTGTCCATTTGATTTTAACCAAGAGACAAGGTGCTTAGGAAAAAAAAAAAAAAAAAAAAAAAACAGAGAGCATATACTGTTAGGATAAATATAGGCATATATTGAAGCCCTATTTAGTATGGGTGATTTTGTTCCTCAGTTTTCTGATCTTTTCAAGTGTTTGTGCATTCTGAGTGTTGTATCTTAGTTTTTGTTGGCCTCTGCAACATATGTAAATTTTCACGTCTTTGATGAAAAATTTTGGTTTTCCTTAAAAAAAATTAATAAGAGACCAAAGACTATCAAACCCTCTTTATAGATTTAGTATAACAGTACTATTGATTTTCACATGTTAGTTAAGTATGTTTTTAAAAATTTTGAAATTAGTCGTTTGTCATAAGTTTCTATGGTTTTCAAAATACTTCTCAATGGTTCACTATTATCTATGATCATGCATCCAAAACGTCATTTTTGACAATGCATTATCTATACCCTTGAATGGAATAGAAGTGCTATAATTAAGCTGTTCTTATAAATCGTTTGCTTCAAATTTGGTCTCAGCTGAAAAACATACTTTGGAAATAGGAAATATAAAATATATGTAGCTTGGGAGGCATAGTCACTTTTCCGACAATGTGCACTTCATATACTCGATTAATTTAAAATTCTTTATCTGCTTATATTGATGTCTATATTCTTTTTATATCTGAATGCCTGTTGAACTTGAGCAGGAAATATGGTTGAAGGATACTGTACTTGATGTCTTTAAAGATACGCGGGATTGCTCCCTCACGCTGGTGAGATTCATACCAATAGATCGGATTAGAGAACACTTTTTTAAACAGAATATACTGAACTTAGCTGCGGCAGCTTCATTTATTTATTTTTTATTTTGTATTTCTTTTTGTTTGTTCAGGTTAGTTTTCTCCATGGCAAGAAGAAAATGGATGCAAAGAAGAAAATTAACCATTCTCAGCAGAGTATCACAAATAACAGGCCCATATCCTCTTCTTTTGTATCAGAGTGGAGGGATGTTGAGAACTCCTTTCCTAATTTGAGTTCTTCCCAAAATCTTGGGAACATTATTAGACAGTTAACTCCCACTAACTTGCCGAGTCAATTAGGAACGGAAAAAGAAAAGACTGATGCCAACACATCATCAGTTCAATTGAAAAGGAACCTTCGCCTAAACAAATGGAAAATTTCAGAATTTTGGTTGGCCAGGGACAGTCTTGTCAGTAACATGAAAGTTCTTGTCGTAGTTGGATGTATTAGCTTTGCTTCGTTCAAGCTAATGAGTACGACGATGAAGAGGAAACTTGTTCCTCCATGGACCCCACATATAGCAAGCCTGAATGCAAGCTCTCTTTTCAGCGATGAGGGTCTATCCGCAGATAATGTTATAAGAGCTCCAAATAGGAAGAGCCGTTCAAATCTTAGTAGTAGTCTTAAAAGGCTTTTGTCGAATTTAATGAGGAAGGGCAGGAACTTATCAGGCACAAGCGATACGCCAATGTTATCTGCAATTTCAGCTCTGCATCAGAAGCCGATGTCGGTTGAAGAAGCCGAAGCCCTTGTGAAGCAATGGCAAATGATTAAAGCTGAAGCTTTGGGGCCTAACTATCAAATTTATAGACTTGAGGAAATTCTTGATGGAACAATGCTTTTCCAGGTAAAGTTCATTTAAGTTCAAGCTGTTTCATCACAATCTAGGGTCAATATTTCTTGTATATGAGAATTTGGGACGTTTTCAAATGATAAGAACAGGAAACCGAGAATGTTTTTAGATGTATCTGTTTTTGAAATAAATTGAAACAAAAACCAAGAAACATGAAATGGAAAAATTATTAGACACTTTTATCTTTTCACCCATTTTTGTCATGCATATTTCCTTCTCTCTAGCGACTTCCAGCCACCTTCCCTTCAACAACTGCCAACTGTGAAATTCTTAGTCAATACCATCTAATAAAGACTTGAAAAACATTCTTTTGGGGCCTAACTACAAATCATGCCAAAACTAAATGTATCTTCCATCTCTTTGTTTGAACATAGTCAAAGCCTTCACTTCACCAACTACTTTTACTTCCAGTTCCAACTTCCAAATGAATGGTCACAAGCTCTTGCCATTCATTTGGTTTATTTATTTATTTATAACAAGAAACATCATTTTCATTATGTTTGTTTTTAAAATATCTTTTGGACTTCAAACTCGAGAAGGAATCTTCAAATCCATTTTGCAAGCTGGACCAGGGGAATTTCATATAAGGATTTTGATTCTTATAGAAAAACAAGGGAATAATCGTGAACTTGGACCAAAGGAAACCAATTATTCAAAGTACATTGTAAACAACGGGTGTTTAGCTTGATCAACATTAGGTATTTTACAATCTTTTAATGTTTAATCAGTTCCCACTTCATTTCCTTATAATGAACCAGACCATGAATCTGAGGTTAGTTTGAGGAGCGTGGAGTTGGATGCTCAAGCTAATTCTTTGGATTATAACAATGTGGAAGAATCTTTTATTAGCTTACTTAAGTCACCAAATCAGCCAAATTCCAAGACCAAAAATTTTAAAGAGTCACTTTTGAATCACATTGATGAATCTCTAAGTCTTTCTTCACCTTTTATTCCTTGCAAGCTTTTATCTTTAATCAAGCTTTGTGGTTTGCAAATGTGGGAAATTCCTTCATTAAATGCCTCAAAGAAGATTCACTAGAAATACTTATAATACCTCAATGAAGATTTTGTCTTAGAATACGCATGGTTTCATTTTGAAGTTTGTTGTATGGCGAAGCATTTATGGTTCCTGCATCTCTTGATATTTCGACTACCTTTATAATTGGGATTTATTGGTTGTTGTGATTTTCCAAGACGCTCTTTAGCATAAGTAATTATTGAGGTTCATTGGATAACATTATTTTCACCATTTTTTTAAATAGCTTCCATTTTTTCATTGGAATATTTGGTGAAGATGTTTTACTGCACTTTTAATTAACTTTTTGGCTTCAGTCTTTTTCCAAGAAGTTATTTCGGCTGTATTAATCATTGGGGATTTTTTAAAATTGTTTTCATGGCAACACTTATTGAGGTTTTCTCATTGCTTTCAAACGATCGTTATTCTTCTCGTGGTTCATGGTAGTATTGATTTCAGGCCTTGCAACTAGTATAATTTCTTTTGGATTCTTGATTGATCCTTCATTTTTCGAAAAAATTGAGTCTCTTGGAAGTTCAAGACATTTTTTTTTGGCATTTCTCTTTCCTACATATATTCCTTATGAGGATTTGTGGATTTTATCTTCAAAGGCTTTCTTTGAGATTTATTTTCAACATCTCTTATGGAGTCAAATCTGGTATTTAGTGATAATTTATCAGCTTGGATAGCTCATCTCAACGAGGTATTGGATAGAATTTGGAAAGAAAAGCTTCTTTGAGAAATAAAGTTCCTTGAAAAGAAGATTGAGATTCGTAGCCATTAATTGATAGAGCTTTTGGAAGCCTATTCCAACTTCTTTGGGTAGTTCAACATTAATTCTCTTGATTCAAATTAATGAAAGTTCACCTTAATTCTCTTGATTCAAATTAATGGACTAGTTGTACGTTAAATTTTAAGTGTAGCATTAGTTGTAGTTTGCAATATCTTTGTATTTCTCTTTCTTTTTCTTCCTTTTCACTCCTTTTGTGTTTCTCTTCTTGTCTCTAAAATTAAAAATAGATTTATTGAACCTTACCTTATTCAGACATTTTAGAAGAAGCTAGTACTCGGCTCCTCACCTCCTCCCCTCCTCACCAAATTTACAGCAACCTCCTACACAACCTGTCAACTCTAACACTCATTTAATTTTCACTCTTTGAGGATCAAATGTTACTTTAAACATAGGTACCATTAGCTCTTCCACTACTAATGATTCTATCTCCTCTTCAGTTGTCCATGATATCGAATCTGATGAAACATTTGATGTTAGTGATCAATGAGGAATCTAAAACACATTTAGCTGATATAGTGATTGATGAATTTTCTATCGTAGGCTCTTTTGTAAAAGTATTCAAAAGTCTCTTTTCAGTTTATGATAGAAGAAATTTATTTGTAGTTATCAACATCATTAGTAAAATATCCTTCCATTGTTTCTAAATTCCATTTCTTAATGAGGTTTGTGGATTGCAAATGATAGAATCATACCTAGTCACCGCAAATTAAAATCTAGTTATATTTCACTCATTTGTTATGATCGTCCAGTAATGAGAAGTACTTCTTGGTATTCCTCAGGCTTTGGAGACGTTTTTTCTTTTTCTTTTTTCTTCTTTTTTTATTGTGTTGCCTTGCAGATCTTTTTCAGTTTCAAATTTTTAAAAATTCATTTAGAAGTTGGAGAGTTGCCCGAAGCTTTTTTTGGAAGATTTTGGGACCTTTTCTTTGCTGGCTTGGAGCTTTGTGTAGTTGAGTGTTTTTAAGTTATTTCTCCTTTTCAGAATTTGATTATATTTTTATGGGTTTCTGTTTTTGGTCAGTATATTCTGGTTGTTTTGGGCTTTTCTTTCAGCTTTCAAGATCAATGTTCTTCAGTTTTCCTTGGCCCTCACTCCTTCGGTCTCTTTTGATGTCTGATTTCTTGGCCTCTATCTTGGCGTTTTAGTTGGATTATTATATTTGGTTCTTTGATGAAGAAGATTTTGTTTTATTTGAATTGTTATTTTCTTTATCTTTTTTCTTTCGTCTGGGGAGTATTGTATCTTTTGAGCAATAGTTTGATTTATCATTGAAAAATTCTTCTTCTTGTAAAATAATTAATTTTATATGTATTAAGCTTTATGAATGAAAATAACATCTGCATGCGTACGAAAAAAAGATAATTTATTGAAATAAGATTCATCTGTTCTATCTTTTGGATTGATGGGAGTTTAATATTATATTGTTTTCTTTTTTGTTTATAGTGGCAAGCTCTAGCTGATGCTGCAAAAGCTAAATCATGCTATTGGAAATTTGTTTTGCTGGAATTGTCTGTCCTACGAGCTGAACTCTTGTCAGATAAACTTGGAGCAATGACTTTAGAAATTGAGGTTCATTTAGAGGAAGCAGCTGAGCTTGTCAATGAAGCTGAACCAAAGAACCCAAGCTACTATAGGTAACTGGAATTAATTAATTGTATTTCATATCGTTTTTTTTCCCTTTTTAACAAAAAACAAAATTTTCATTGATAGAATGGAAAGATTAAAAAAACAAACTCCCCTTTCGAAATAGTAACAGCAAATAGAAATTAGAAACCTAATGCTAGAAATATAAGCATCTCAGTGAATACAGATGTAATTGATAAAGAAACCAATAATTCAGAGTTCAGACGAAGAACTCCATAAAGAGGCCTTAAACTTAGCTATGTTAACTTCTTGCACTAAGCTTTGGATTTATTTTCAAAGATCTTTGATTGTGCTTTGATTGTGTTTGAACTGGTTGAGGATTGTTGGGAGAGGAGTTCCACATTGGCTAATTAAGGGGTTGATTATGGATTTATAAGTAAGGAATACATCTCCATTGATACGAGGCTTTTTGGGGAAGCCCAAAGCAAAACCATGAGAGATTATGCTCAAAGTGGACAATATCATACCATTGTGGAGATCCATTATTTCTAAAATGGTATCAGAGTCATTCCCTTAACTTAGCCATGTCAATAAAATCTTCAAATGTCAATCAAAGAAGTTGTGAGCCTCGAAGGTGCAGGAAAAGTGATTCAAGTGTCGAACAAAGGGTGTACTTTGTTCGAGGGCTCTAGAAAAAAAAGAGTTGAGTCTCGATTAAGGGGAGGTTGTTTGAGGGCTCCGTAGGCCTTAGGAGAAGCTCTATGGTATACTTTGTTCGAGGGGAGAATCGTTGAAGATTGTTGGGAGAGGAGTCCCACATTGCTAATTAAGGGGTTGATCACGAGTTTATAAGTAAGGAATACATTTTCATTAGTACGAGGTTTTTGGGGAAGCCCAAAGCAAAACTATAACAGCTTATGCTCAAAGAACACAATATCATACCATTATGGAGATCCGTGATTCCTAACAAAACCAAACTTCAAAAAAAAATGGTTTAAATAGCATTGATTCATAATAATCGTGCTATTGGGTTTTGAATTGTTGGAAGAAGAGATACCAACAACTCAACACATAAGCGTAGTTAAAGATGTGATTTTGACTCTCTAAAGCCATAAAACAGAGAACTCAAACTCTGAGGGCCGTAACAAAAAAGAAGACATCTTTTGTAAAACATCTGCTGCGTTCAGTTCTTTATATGGCAGAATGAGTCTAAAACATTGGCCTTGGGGATTTCTGTCTTCCAAATTGCAGGAATGTATAACAAAATGATTGTTAGTTGATGGGTTATTGCTATTTATAATAAATAGTATTTTAGTGAAGAATTAGGTTATTACTCAACAAAGAATTTTTTTTTTATTAAAGGATGAGATCAATTCAGAAGTACCTTTTTTCTTTATTATTAGAACAGATAGAATTCTATTGGGTTAATTGGGGGCCACACGATAGATTTTTATCCTTTACTCTTCTACAAAAAAGACATATTAAGATAAATAATCCCGACATGCTCCTTAGATTTATTTATGGCCCTCAAGGAGCCGTATGAGGTGAAAATCTCATGTACGGTTCTGTAATAGCGATGAGAACAACAACTGAATAAAAGCCTGCGAGGGGCAATTTTCGAAAGATTCTCGTCCTCCCTAACGATCGGACTAATGCCATTCGGAAAGGAGAGAGTTCTCCCAATTCATCATCCTTCAACTTCCAATGTGTAATGATCTTTGGAGAACAATATGCAGCATCCCAGTGTTCTGAAACGGAACAGTAGACCTAGAAACCACTTGAAAACACGATGAAACCTTGACCTCAATGTAGAATTCCCACACCACTCATGATCAAGATCTTTGAATTTCCGCTCGACACTACATGAATCCTCAAACCATTCGTTTGCTTTTTTGTTAGTTTTAAGTTTTCATGTCTTCTCTATTCTTCTTCTTTCACACTCTCGTTTCATTATTTAAAGTTTTCTTCCCATCTCTGTTCTTTTTTTTTTTTTCCTTCTTGGATATCTTTCCTTTCTCTCATTTTCTCTATTTTTCTCTTTCCCTCCACGTTTGCTTAGCCCTTTACCCTCTTCTTTCTAGCCTGTCCATCAACTGACACGATTTCTGCTAAAAACAAATGTTATTTATTGTAATGCCTCACCAGGTATTTTCCTCCACTCCATCTCTCAATGGAAGGCCCTCACCTGCATTTTTTGGACTTCTCATTAATTTTTGTGGCCGAGGAAGGACGGTCTGAAATGGTATAGGAAGGAAATTTTTGTCCTTAACATTTTCGTTTGGGATGATGAAAAGTTTTCCTACCTGGACCCAATCTTTGACCGATCTAACAAACGTTTTTGTGGGAACAAAGATGGGGAAGCAATCATGGACCCAATCCTACACCACTTTATTTCACAATGTCGGCCCACACCATCTTCCCGCACATTCTGAGTACATTCTTGTAACAACCCAAGCCTACTGCTAGCAGATATTGTCCTCTCGGGTTTCCCCACAAGGTTTTTAAAACGCGTCTACTAGGGAGAGGTTTCCACACCCTTATAAAGAATGTTTCATTCTCTCCAACCGATGTGGGACCTCACAATCCACCCCCTTTTGGGGCCAGCGTCCTTGCTGACACACCGCCTCGTGTCCATCCCCCTTCAGGATTCAGTCTCCTTGCTGACACATCGCCCGATGTTTGGCTCTGATACCATTTGTAATGGTTTAAGCCCACTGCTACCTGATATTGTCCTCTTTGGGTTTTCCCTTTCAAGCTTCCCCTCAAGGTTTTTTGAACGCGTCGGCTAGGGAGAGGTTTCTACACCCTTATAAAAAAAATATTTCGTTCTTCTCTCCAACCGATGTGGAATCTCACAATTATCTTCTGTCAAATTATAGGTACTATCAAAAGACATTTCTATTGTTCCTTACAAACTTCCAATTCCCCCATCTCGTGCCAATCTAGCAACTTATCCTCACCCCAATTATTTTGCCTGTTCAACTAGTGGTTTCCTCATTATCAGCTATTTGATTTTTTTCCTTCTCTTTTATATGGTATATCTAACTTTAGTTTATGATTAAATAGAAGTTATATCCTTGGAGCAATGTAATTTAATTTATGGATTTTAAATGTTTTAAACAATATTTTGACTAAAATACGACATCAAAATATAATTAATTTCATCTACATGTCTTAGTTGCGTCCATATCCTATTTTCTTAGGCAGCATCTCCATGTATTTTATTTTGACAAGTTAATTACCTGGATAGAGATGTATATTAAGCATTAGTGGACAGACATGAAGTTTTACCGTTGTATTTTATTTGTGATGGCATAGATTGCTTACTAGCTTAAATAGGCTCAACATTTTATAGTATATCCCTTTAGCTTGTGTTACATTCTTTTCAAGTCATCGAAGGGCTAATTATGAAGATATTCTGGTGTATTTTAAACTTAAGCATTTCTTTCACAAACTTAGCTATGTTTTTATAGTACTTCTCTTTTTGTTTCTCTTACCATCTCACATTGATCTTTAGGGAAAAAGTATCTTAGAATGAAATTGCTGAACATAAGGGAACATATTCATAATAGTCATTTTATTGTTCCAGAATGATAGTAACTTCATCGAATTATGTTGTCTTTTCTTAAAGTTGTGTAAATAAAAGTTCTAAAACCTATCTATGTTCTTAAAACTTTAATAGCATAAAAGATGGTCTGTTGTATGAAAACTGCGGAACATGGAATTATTACATTCTGTGAGATTCCACATTAGTTGAGGATAACGAAATATTTTTTTATAAAGGTGTGGAAACCTCTCTCTAGCATACGTATTTTGAAAACCTTGAGAGAAAGTCCGAAAGAGAAAATCCAAAGAGAACAATATCTGCTAGTGGTAGGCTTGGGCTGTTACAAATGGTATCAGAGCCACTGGGCAATGTGCCAGCAAGGAGGCTATGCCCCGAAGGGGGTGGACACAAGGCGGTGTGCCAGCAAAGACGTTGGGTCTCGAAGGGGGGTGAATTGTGAGATCTCACATCGGTTAGGAAGGAGAACGAAACATTGTTTAAAAAAATGTGGAAACCTCTCCCTAGTGGATGCGTTTTAAAAACCTTGAGGAAAAAACTCGAAAGAGATTCCCAAGAGGATAATATCTACTAGCGGTAGACTCAGCTGTTACATAAACTATATTCATATTACCATTATTGTCATCCTAACTATCAGGCCTTTCTACTCTTTGAAACTAAAAACTTTTCTTGATCCTTCGTGGCGTGCAGCAATTATAAAGTTCGTTATTTAGCAAAGAGGCAACAGGATGGTTCTTGGAAGTTCTGTGAAGGTGAAATACAAGTACCAGCTTAGTAGAGTCGTTCTTTTGTAAGAAATAGAGAATTTTAGGTCATTTGGTCTCTCCAAACTTGTTGCATCATTGATCTTCATCCACCAAGTGTATTAGTCATTTAATCATCTACTTTATATTTGTTATATCAACATCATCATTAATATAGTTAATCTTATTGATACACTTCATTTAGAGTGTATCATTGATGCACTTTAAAAATAATTAATGAATTCACGTATTCATGAAAGATGGAGGAAGAACATTCGCTACCTCGGAATCATGAATGATATACTACTTATAAACTGCCGATAAACTATTCATAAATTAATGATAGATATATATTTTTAAAGTGTAATGATGTTCTATTGCTCTACGTGTATTATTGATACATTTTCGTTCATACACTGCAATTCATCTCCATGTCGTTGATATATAAGTATTATTGCTATACTCCATAATATTCTTAATACACGAGCAATTTAGAACATATATTAGTGATTTTTTTCTTTAAATGGCAAGTTTATCATTGATATACTTGATTATTTATATATATGATAATTAAATAAATTCGTTGATATACTAGTTAGATGACCCATGAACTAATAAGTCTATCATTGATATAGATTCAAACTTATTGCTATTCAATTCATATATCATCGATGATAAGAAAGATAGCACTTTTATCATTGATCTACTCAACTAATTATATACGTGGCAATTATAAACAACTCTTTGATATGCCTAGTTACATGCCAATTTATCAAACACACCATTGATAAATGCAACCATGGCTACTTTGGTTGTGACCAAATTACATCATTCAATATAAATAAATCCAAAAGTTACAAACATAATGATTGAGTTGGTGATTCGAGCCACGTGAATAGAGTTCACAACCCAACTCAACTCAATCCTCTATTCTGGTTGGGTTGGATTGTTTTTTTTTAAAAAAAAAAAATCATATTTATCCACCCTACATATTTTATTAATAGCTAAAATTTCATAAAATTCAAATATTAAACATTTACAAATTATAACGCATTATAGTTTTGATTGGTCATGTGAACGCTTCTATATATATTAAATATAATTGTTTTTTTAAAATAAAAAATTAAATTTAAGAAGAAATTATAATTTATACCTAAAACCATATTTGACAAATTTGGTGAATGAAAAGAAAAAGATATCAGAAATGCCTCGAAACATGAACGGAAGCAGACGGGAAGGCGGAGAAGATGAGAGCGGAATGCTGTGGAAGCTTCCAGTTTTGAAATCTTCCAGAATCGGAAGGTTAGGTCCCGCCTTCGGCCTGGGCGTTGGTTGTGGCGTCGGCTTTGGCATCGGCCTCGTCGGAGGTTAATTCTTTATCATTTCTCTCTTTCCTTTTTGTTTCAGTCGAAATTCGCTTGTTATTCTCCTGTTGGATTCCTTTTGTTTTACTACTTCAATTATGTTGCTTAAAATTACTTTGATTAGCGGAATCACTTTGTTTATTGCGTATTAATCGACTCGTTTAATGAGGCTTAGCTATTGGTGAATTGAAAATGTTGCCTTATGGATTGTGTTCTACTCTGCAACTTGTTGATTGCTTTACTCTGCAATTGAAAATTTTGGACTCTACAAGGTTACTTGGCTACATGTTTTAAACTCCATCAATCTGTTTAGAAGGATTTTTTGGTGCCTAAAGCTCAAAATGTATAATAAGACTTTAAAATTTGGAATTCACATAATACTTACATGTTGACGAGGAATAAATTCTCTCTATCCTTCATTATAGTATGATTTTAAGTATATAAGAAACGCCATTGATTTTCTTTTTGATAGTAAACATTTTATGAATGAAAAAAAGAGGACAAAAGGAACTGGGAAGATAAAGCGTTTTCTGGGTCTCTACATGCCCACTTGCGTACACACATGCATAGAAGAGGAAACTATCATGGATTTGGGTTTTGTTAGAAGGTAGGGTTTGAGTATCAGCTGATAAATGTTATCACTGTGCAAATTTACTTTGAACCTTGAATGTGGTTAACTATCCTTGTTTAATTAAACTACTCAAATTGATGTATTTGCAAAATTTGTTCTCCATTCTAGGTGCTGGATTTGGTCCAGGAATTCCTGGCCTACAACTTGGCTTTGGTCTTGGTGCTGGATGTGGAGTTGGCTTAGGATTTGGCTATGGTGCGGGCAGGGGCATTGCGCAAGATGACAAACGGAGATACTCTAACGTTGGGGATCTGTTAAATGGTCGTCAAAGTATTTTTCCTCAGTAAGTTCTAAACTAACTGTTTTCAACTTGTGACTATCCTGTTCTGTTCCTGCATGCATAAGTCAGGGATAATTCCCATTTTAGTGCTTATCTAGATTTGGTGACCTGGCTTTTTCCTAACCATGTATTGACTAAGGTGGCAATTTTCCATGATGTAAATTCCAAAAAATAACTCCAGTGGCTCTCTCTCTCTCTCTACTTGCCTCCACACCTCCACCTTACCTTCATTGGAAACTATAACGGCCCAAGCCCACTACTAGCAGATATGGTTCTCTTTGGGCTTTCTCTTTCGGGCTTCCCTTCAAGGCTTTAAAACGCGTATACTAGGGAAAGGTTTCCACACCCTTATAAAGGGTTGTTTCCTTCTCCTCCCCAACCAATATGGGATATCACAATCCACCTCCCTTCAGGACCCAGCGTCCTCGCTGACACTCGTTCTTTTCTCCAATCAATGTGGGATCCCCACCAAGTCCCACCCCCTTTGGGGCCCAGCGTCCGTACTGGCACAAAGCCTTGTGTCTACCCCCTTTGGGGAACAACCTCCTCGCTGGTACATTGCCCGATGTTTGCCTCTGATACCATTTGTAACGGCCCAAACCCACCGCTAGCAGATATTGTTATCTTTGTGCTTTCTCTTTCGGGCTTCCCTTCAAGACTTTAAAATGCATTTGTTAGGGAAAGGTTCCCACACCAACCAACGTAAAATGCGTCTGTTAGGGAAAAGTTTCCACACCAACCAACATGGGATATCATAAAACCACTAACCACCCATCTAGTGAATGAGTGAACAGAGAAAGCCGATAGTAGATACAGAGGTAGTTGTGTTAAGTTATCTGAGGTAAAGAGAGAGAGCTTGCTTCATAACCATCCATTGGAAATCTCTTCGATGTTGAGTTGATACCTTCCAAACCCTCCTAACTGGCCAATTGAATCAGAAAATTTTTAAGGAGGAATTTATTGACAAACAAACTATTTGGTGCATAAATCATCAAACCAAAAGGGTAGACTTGCTACAGTTGCCCTTCTTCAATATAACAAAGGAAGTCGCAACAAACTTTTCATACCTGTAGGAGAAGGGGGAATAGGATGGGTAGCTTTTATAATTTTATTACCAACCACCACCTGCTCCATCATTAAAAACTAGCTATAAACCAAAGCTCCCTCTTCTCCTGGTTAGGAAGGCAACCGTTAAACCAACCACACTTTGCCCCCTCCCCCGCCATCATTAAAAAACCCACCAACCTCCTACAAAGCGGCTTTGACTTGCAAGTTATCTCCTTACAATGTATTGATATTTAGAGGAGGAAATTGCCCTAAGGCAATACAAAACTCTTCAGCTTATTTGAGAGGCCTGATAAACTCTCTTTCCTTACAAATTTCTAGAAAAGATAAAACATGAAAATTTCTACACTTTCCTTGTACCTATATGTGCTGCCTTCTACCCCAACATTTCCTTATAGTGGTCTCACGCGTCCCCTCACCCTCTCTAACTCTCAGGTGGTTTATTTCCATTTTTGCCCCTTCTTACGTAAGTAAAATCGGGGTTCTCACATAACCACTTAAGTACAGTGTCCTGTGTACATAATTGACATCCATCCTTTTGTTTTAGATGTTGGAGACCTATCCATCGTCATTAGTGGACAACACTTTCACTATGATTGGTTTTTGAAGGTATGAGAGAAAATAATTTTGTACTTGTTGAGTGATGAGAAAGACTCAAACTTATGCAAGAGGATTACCTATCATATGTGCTAGAAATAAGCTATCAACCTGAACTTCTGTCATCAAATCCCAAAGGTAAGCCATTTAAAAATGCATTCTTTACACCAAGTTGAAATGGTGGCAAATCTAGATTTGTTGCGATAGATAGAAGTACCCGAATAGTATTTCACTTGGCGTGTAGCAAAGATTTCCTGATAGCCAATCTTAGATTTGTTGCGATAGAGATATGTAACTATGCTACTTCAATTTTGGGCTCTTTACTGGAGCTCAATATTTCCATGGCCCGTAATAAGTCTGGTGTAGCTCATTAGTTGAAGATGTGTTGTTCCATTCCCCTTCGAAGACAGCGGAGAGGGTGTGTTGGGGGAAGCTCTCTCTTATAGCCAGCTTCTGTAACCAAATGGTTTAATTCCTTCTTTCTTTCTTATTCTTAACCTTTGGAGACCTTTATTCTGGGGCGGGGCTCATTTGACCTGCCAATGCATTGCACAGAACTCTCCCTGCTGCCTATGTTTACTAAACTACTGGTCTAAACCGACTGTTATGCCCGACCCTGAAAAGAAATTTAGATCATAAGAGATTTGGGATCATGTGCATGGAAATGTAAATATACTACTATAATTTGGGCTCTCTTCTAGAGGGAGACCTTCCATATTTCCATGGCCCTAATGCTAGGAATCACGACTCTTCTCAATGATATGATATTGTCCACTTTGAGCATAAGCTCTCATGGCTTTGCTTTCGGCTTCCTCAAAAGGCCTTATACCAATGGAGATATATTCCTTACTTATAAAACCCATGATCATTCCCTAAGTTAGCCAACGTGGGACTCCCTCCTAACAATCCTCAATCCCTAATATAAGTCTCGTGCTGCTCAATGGTTGAAGAGGGGATGTTCCATTCACCTTCTTAGAAAACCGAGGTGTTTTGTTGAGGACTGCCTTTCTAGTTGTTTTATGGAACATGTAGCTGGAGAGAAACAAATGGATTCTTAGGAGAGGGTGTTGGGGGGAATTTTCTCTTTAGCCATCTTCAATGGGTGTCTGTAAGCAAAGAGTTTACATTCTTTCATTTTTTCTTTTTTTTGAAAGAAAAACAATTTCATTAGAATGATAGATGAAATAGTGGAGTAAAAGCTCCAAACAATCCATTGGGCGATGAAATAAAAAACGCTATTAGGATCAAAAGAGTCCTTATTCTTGCACCAGAAAGCAGTAGAAAGAACAAGATCTATGAAATGGTCAAAAGAGTTGAAAAAAAGAACTCATATTATTTTAATAGTTGCAATATTATCTTTGACCTTTAAAAAAATATTTTGAAACTAAGGTAATATTGCAACTTTGTTTAAAAATATGGCAAGGTTCTAAGTGTTTTTTTTGTTATTTAGTCTCTTTTCTTTTATCTTATTACTGAATCATTGATGTACAACTTCACGGACGGTGGATTAAACGCCTATTTTTGAAGTTCTTAAAAGCAATCGTGTGCTAGTGAGATGCACATTTGATACTCAGCTGGCTTTATGGTGCTAGCTACAATGTGTGCTAGCTGCTGAGGTTGATTTCCATGGTTTTTTTCCGCACAAATTCCTAGCACCCTTCTATTTCTTGTTCCTGTTCGACTTGGGGGACGCTATCTTGGCCACGTCAATTGTTTTGGTTAAATCATTGAAACTAACCGTTGATTGTCGAGATCGTTGAACTACGATCAGGATAATAATTCCCTTTTGAAATCATCCTCTTGAGTTGAAACACAGGATTAAGAATGATTTTCTCAGCTGAAATAACTGGAATCCAAACAAACAGTGAAAGCTAGAATACAACTGGTGGCATTTCCAAGATGGCTTGAATCGTCTTTATTCGCCTTTTCATATGTAATCTGTGCAGCTATAGAACTTTTTTTATTCTGTCATCAAGAAACATTTATTGACTTCCATTTTTACTTATCAGTAGGGACGAGATCGGGGCGGTTGTCGACGAGCTCGCCCTCAATACAAAGAAGCTTATCCAAGTTACTGCAAAGGAGATTGACAAGTGGAAAAGATGAAGTTCTCTTCTTTTGCATTAAGGTCCAATCCCCTTCCCCCATCGTTAGTAAGATCCACAATCAAAAGCATAGAAGAAGGAAAAACTACAAAAAAGAAAAAAAAAAAAAAAAAGAAAAAAAAAAAGGAAGTAATGGAAATTATGTTCAATGGTTATTAAAGAACAAGCTGGTTTAAGTTGTGCATTCAACAATATAAGATCTTAGTGATTATATTCTATAATTTCGACCTTTTGGTATTAACCATTTTGCTCGAAGCCTAAACTTTTAAAAATTAACTAGAGATTTTTATATGACTCGAGAAACCGATTATTCTAAACTATCAAATCTAAATCATAAAAGTTTGGTCAGGTTAGATTTTTTTTCGGTTTGGGTTGGTTGAATTTTTAGAAAATCGAAAAATTTGGGTCAATTCGCGAGTTGACATTATTTTAGTCAAGTTATTCGAAAATAGTATTAAGAACATTTAATTCGATTAGTGGGTCAACATTATTTTAGTCAAGTTAACCCAACCAATCCGAAAAAAGTGTTAAGAATATTTAATCCACACCCAAAAAGAAGCGAGCTACGATTGAGTTAAACTTGGAGATGAAAGTCTTTTGTTTCTCAACGGTGAAGTAAGACTAAGCTCATGAGCTTATTATCCAACTTCATTTTCAAATTTCTTCGGTTGGTTCATGTAGAACTCTCTATTTAACTCTCCATGCACGAAAGCATTATTCATATCCATCTGTCATAATTTTCAATATTTATTTACCGTAAGTACTGGAGGAACTTGTACGATAATGATTTTTTCCACTGGACTAAACGTTTCATCATAGTCTAGTCCATATTCTTGAGAGAACCCTAAATCTATAGTCTGAGTTTTGTATCTCCCGATTGATCCTTCCGGGGTACACATTTTGTAAGCCCACTTGCAAGAGATGAGTTTGGTATCTCTTGGCCTTGACGCTAATTCCCAAGTTTGATTTTGTTTCAGGGCTATAGTTTCTTCCTCCATCGCTTTTTGCCAAGCTGAGTTTTGTGATGCTTCTTCATGTCTCTGGCTCATTAACTTCGTCTTCTACTGCGTTAGCATACTTAGGATGTGATTGAGTTTTGTGATGCTTCTTCATGTCTCTGGCTCATTAACTTCGTCTTCTACTGCGTTAGCATACTCAGGATGTGATGCTTCTTCATGTCTCTGGCTCATTAACTTCGTCTTCTACTGCGTTAGCATACTCAGGATTTGCCTTTAGGATTATTTCTGAATGTCTGAGTTGTTGAGGTGTCATTTCATTTTCACTAGGCTCGCTTGGTTGAGTCACTTCTTACTCACCAACACTAGTGTCACTTGAATCTTCTGTGTATAATTTGCTCCCTTGTCTTCTGTGGAAGAATCTCTTCAGTTTGCTCAAGCCTGGTAATACTTCCTTCTCTGAGGGTGACTCTTTTCAGTTTCCTCAAGCCTGGTAATACTTCCTTCTCTGAGGGGTGGCTCTCTTCAGTTTGTTCAAGCCTGGTAATACTTCCTTCTCTGAGGGGTGACTCTCTTCAGTTTGCTCAAGCCTGATAAATACTTCCTTCTCTGAGAGCCACCCCTCTTCGATTGCACCGCTTTGATCGTCAATTTCTTGCTCACCAGGTAATACTTCCTTCTCTGAGAGACACCCCTCTTCCATTGCACCTGGCTCTCTTCAGTTTGTTCAAGCCTGGTAATACTTCCTTCTCTGAGGGGTGACTCTCTTCAGTTTGCTCAAGCTTGGTAATACTTCCTTCTCTGAGGGGTGACTCTCTTCAGTTTGCTCAAGCTTGGTAATACTTCCTTCTCTGAGGGGTGACTCTCTTCAGTTTGCTCAAGCCTGATAAATACTTCCTTCTCTGAGAGCCACCCCTCTTCGATTGGCACCGCTTTGATCGTCAATTTCTTGCTCACCAGGTAATACTTTCTTCTCTGAGAGACACCCCTCTTCCATTGCATGCCATGAGTGCTAGCTCGTCTTCAACTTTTTCCTGAACCTACAACACAATCTCTAGACAATACTTCCTTCTCTAAGAGACACCCCTCTTCCATTGCATGCCATGAGTGCTAGCTCGTCTTCAACTTTTTCCTGAACCTACAACAATCTCTAGATATGTGACTTGGCTTAAATAAAATTTAAATCCCTTAAGTACTCTCGAGTTTCTAAGAGCATTCTCCACCATTTCCCTATACATGATGAAATTAGATAAAGCTTCCACGCCCAGTGGGACTCGAACCGCCTGATTAGAAGTCAAATGCCTTATCCATTAGGCCATGGGTGCCTTTTATTATGTGACCATTCGTATGCAAATTGAATTTTCAAGAGCATGGAGCCCATTGATTTTGTTACAAATCTCTTTGAATTGGATCTTTGTTCTTAGAATAGGGATTTCTTTGGTTTCGAAGTCTTAAAACCTTGGTTCTTTGTTCTTAGCATTCTTTGTGTCTTATCATTGTTTTGGTGTGTGATAAGCTTACTAAATACATGTTCCTAAGGTGGCAACACTTTATCGGAGGCATCTAAAATATCGAGATGCATGTTGTTTACAAAATTTCACAAAATTGTTTTAAGAAAAATTTTAGATTAGCCTATACAAAAATAATGACAAAGTAATGACAAAGTATTCAAAAGTTTTAAATTACCAAAATACCCTTAAACTAAAAAAAATTATGAAAATATCAATTTTCAAAGAATCATACGATCGAGATTAGCCTGTACAAAACCCTTCGATCTTCATATTCAACTATTAGATTGAGCTCTAATTTTAGTAGGATCAAGAAAACTTGAGGTAACTCGGATCCAACAACTAGATTTAAAGAAAAAAGTAGGCAAGCCTCTGATTGGAGAAGATATTTCCAAAAGAAATTTCTAAAAAATGAACTTCAAATTCAGGAGGAGTTGGTGGTTTCAAAGTCAATTTAAGCTTCATCTATAAAGTATTATGTAGGGGTTTTCATTTGAAACAAGAATCAAGTCTTGAAAGTTCTTTACACTTGAGTTGGAAGCTTTTAGATTATGAGTTACATTGCTCTCGAGTTTCCAAAATTAAGAGACTATGGCTCATCAAATTCCCTTAAAGAAATTCTTACAACTTTGAAATTAGCTCCCCAACCAGTTTCATGAAGACTCAAGAGCTGAAAACATCTCAACCACATTCTCTCAATTTGAGTTTTCATGGCCGTAGGAGGGATTAAATTTAAAATTTTAATTCGAGACTACAAGAAAATTTTTCTCTCCAAGCCAACAACTAGTCACTCAATAAGAAGTTTCATGAAGACAACGAAAGCTAAAAATCTCAAGAACAACGAGAATCGAAGAAAAAACTTATAAGCTTCGTTTTTTTTTATGAATTTTAGAAAAACACTAAAATTTTCAACTGAGGTCTATTAAGCTTTAATACAAGATACCATAACCTTCAAGAGGATGAGAGGAGAAGGTTTCATAAAGAAGTTAAGGCTGAAGAGCTCTCGATTGAGTTTCTCAATAACCTTTAGAATCTACGAAAATGGGTTTCATGTCGAGAGAAAGAATCGAAAAATTGGGGACATATGCAAGAATTCATCCTTCCAAAATCAATTCTCAAAATTGAGAGAAAGATAAGGAAGAAACCTCGTGACGAGGTGAATTCTTGATCTCTAGTTCCTTAAACATGATTTTTAAGTTTCATGAAGAAATCAATGGGATGTAGAAGGTGATTTTGAGAGCAACCTCGCAATAGGCCACACATTTCTTCCGGGGAAGAAGATAATGACATTGAACTAGCCATGTCTGTCTTAAAATATGACACAACTTAGTTTTTTTTTTTTTTTTTTTTTTCCAATTAAACATTGGCTCTCATAAAATTCTTTAGGGTTCTTGAAAATATATTTGAAGTGGTCAAGAAATTATATGAAGCGACGATACCAATGGTTCTGCTTTGAAAGTAGGCAATGGAGGAAGAAATAGCTTTGTACCAAAACAAGAAATTATAACTTGGGAATCAGTGACAAGACCAATGGCTCTGCTTTGAAAGTAGGCAATGGAGGAAGAAATAGCTTTGTAGCAAAAATAAGAAATTATAGCCTTGTCACAAAATAAAACTTGGGAATCAGTGACAAGACCGGATCCTTCCTTTCTTCAAACGGAACGAACAGAGATAGAATCAGACCGATTCCCTAAATGCTTTTCTGGATATTCCTCAATGTCCCGGCTATTCAAGGAACGTGAGAAGCAGATGAATAATCATCCGCTTCCGGAAGAAACCGAAGAATTTTTCGGGAATCCTACAAGATCCTTTCGTTCTTTTTTCTCTGACAGATGATCAGAACTTCATATGGGTTCGAATCCTATTGAGAGGTTCACTAGAGATAAAAAATTGTTGAAGAAAGAACAAGATGTTTCTTTTGTCCCTTCCAGGCGATCGGAAAATAAAGAAATAGTTAATATATTCAAGATAATTACGTATTTACAAAATACCGTCTCAATTCATCCTATTTCATCAGATCCGGGATGTGATATGGTTCCGAAGGATGAACTGGATATGGACAGTTCCAATAACCCAATTTGAGCTAAGGAGTCTCTTGAAATGGGGTTAAGGCATAATAAATGATAAAATGATATCGTTCAACTAAAAGTTTAATTAACTCCAGCATTTTTGGAGGCCTTGTCCTTTCTCTTTCTTTTTCTTTTTATTTTAGTAGCAATCTTGGACATGCTTAGTTTAAGGTATTTTGGCCGGATAATGAAGTTGGGCATCAAGAACGATGCAACTATTGGCACTCCATTTGTGATGTTGATGAATTTGATTATTGAAAAATTAGGTTCACAATTTTTACAATTTTCCTTTTAATCTTGAAGGGTTTAATTACAACTTTCTTTTAGGTTGGGTTAATTTTTTTTTTTTTTTTTTTTGGGTTTGTTTGTTAATCAACTGGGTGAGTTTGAAGAGTACTTCGACCTCTCCATTCAAGCATATATAGTCTCAGCCAGTTGAATTAGGCACAAATTGATATTTAGGATTTTTTATTTAATTGAACATTTGACTATGTAGTTGTATAAACTGTTATAGTTCTTTTTTTTTCATCATTTTTTCAATTGAATTTATGTCCATGTCCTAACTTTCTGATTTAGGGGAGCATATTCTTCAGTTCAAATACCAATACAGCTGGGAATTCAATGAGAATTTTTGGGAGACAACATTGTTTTGGTGCAACTTTAGCAGCAATTATGGGAAGCTTTCGTTCGAGGTTTTTTGGCTAG